AGATAGATAGATAGATAGATAGATAGATAGATAGATAGATAGATAGATATATGATTGATAGTTATTAGATAGATGAGATAGAGATAGATGAGATAGGTGAGATAGATAGATATGAGATAGAGTGATGAGATAGAGAGATGAGATAGATGAGACAGACAGACAGACAATCTAGGCCAGGGGTCTGCAACCTGCAGCTCTGGAGCCACATGCGGCTCTTTCGGCCTTCTGCTGAGGCTCCCTGTCGGCTGATCCCACCACTGGCTGGCCCCTCCCCTCCCAGTCACTCCTTGCCTGGCCTGAGAAAATAAAGGGGATGGTGTGGGATGGAGACTTGCTCCATATTCCAGAGCAGGACGTGACTGGGTGGGAGGGAGTGATGTCGAGTTGGCCACACTCACCCAGTCACACTGGTTGTTAAATTACTGGGTTTTCTTTTCTGTGGGAAATGGGCCCAAATGGCTCTTTGAGTGTTTAAGGTTGCAGAACCCCTGATCTAGGCAAAAACTGGTGCTCTCTGAGCTTGCTTGTTTTCCTGCAGACATTTCATTACCCTAATTAGGTAACATCACCAGTGAATGACAGATAGATAGATAGATAGATAGATAGATAGATAAATAGATAGATAGATAGATAGATAGACGGACAGAGAAACAGACAGAAGCTTTGTTTTTCAGATCCCTTGGGGAAATTTCTGCTTTTGCAGAAACATTTGCAAATTTGTGTAACTCATTTATTGGAACTTTCCAGATACTTTCCCCCGTCCAAATAAATGTGTTCATCTAGAGATGGTGCCCTCTCATAGCATCAGTGCTTTGATCGGAGGTATCAAGATATTGGTAGCAAAAAACCCAAATAAAACTCTATAAAAAAAAAGATATTGATAGCACAAAACTCAACAGCTGGGAGCCTCGGTTTGAGGCCTCCTGCCAATTTTTATAGCCTCAGCATTCTTGTATGATATTATTACTCTATGCATTGGTAATTCCTTCTCCTTCATTCTATGCCATTAAAATAAGAACTGACTATAAAGATTAACTCTCTCTTTCTTTCTCAAAAGTTAACTTATAAGACATATATAAATGTCCTATTATGTTTTAGAATTGTCTTAAATTTTTTATTTTGTTCCTATGAGTTTATGTACCATTGTCAATGTTTTATTGCCACTGATATATTTCTCTTTCTGGCTGTTCTTCCTTCCTTCAGACATGAAAAAAATCTATGAATTCCCACTTTGGTTTATTAGTTCCTCACATACTTAGTTGATTATTATCTGGAGTAATATTAAGTCTGAGTAATCTCTGTTCATAAAATACGCAACCTTTTCTGACAATAACAAATTATTTAATCTTCTCTGGCAAAGTTGCTCGTATTTATAACGGAACAAATTAAATATGCTTTGTTAGAATCAAATCATACTCGGGAACCTTCAAAGGGGAGAGAAGACCTAGGAAAACTTCTCACAGACTTTTTAATTTTTTTTTAAAAATAATGTTTATTGAAAGTTTCCAAAAAAAAAAAAAAGAATATTTAAAAAAAGAGAAACATGTTCTCACATTTTTGCAACATTTTCATAGCAGTGTACATTTCTATTAGTGTCAATTGAAGTCATTTGCTACAAGTAAATCTATAACTTTTTTCCTAAATCCTTACCATGATTCTCACAAAATAAGGCCGGGCCTTTTTTTTTTTTTTTTTTGACCCCCCAAAAAATGGCTAGGCCACCCCGCCCTTCCCCCCCCATTTCACTTCACCTCGTGTAGTTTTAACGAACGATGTGAGAAATGGTGGGGAAACACATGGATTAAATAGGCCTAAATTTTGGGGGTGGGGCTTAATTTCACCTCATGCCTAGAAATCATGCTGGGCCTTCCTATTGGTAGAGGCCGTATTGTTGGAGAAACACGGTATTTATTTATGTTATTATTACATTTATAATACAATATTTATTTAATTATATTACTTTACATATATACATAACTGTATATATAGCTCACAGACTTTTATATACAAGTTTATCAGTGGTGGGATTCAAATTTTTTACTATCGGTTCTGTGGGCATGGCTTGATGGACGTGGCAGGGGAAGCTTACTGCAAAATCCCATTCCCTCCCACCAGGCTAACCTGCTTTCCAGCTCCGTTCTCCTGTGCAGGGCAACTAAAGAAGACCCAGCCAATCAGCTGGGACTCAATGGGAGACGGAGAATAGATGGGGGCGGGGCCAGTCAGAGGCGGGATTTGCCGGTTCTCTGAACTACTCAAAATTTCCGCTACCGGTTCTCCAGAACTGGTCAGAACCTGCTGAATATCATCTCTGAAGTTTATATACAAGACACTGACTAAACCTTACTTGGATCATTTGGTTTGTTATTTACTTATTTATTTATCCAATTCATATGACCACCCATCTTAAGAAAAGTGATTTTGGGCAATTTACTATTTTTTCTATCTAATTTCTTCTGCTTTTTCTATTAATTCTCAGAATTTGCTTGCCCCACAGCTAAGATGATATGCAGCGAATACCACCACTCTTTTAAACTCAATTTTATTCCCTTTTGAATTCCTGCATGGGATGGAAATTCTGTCTCCTTACCGTTTATCCTACCTTTTCTTAACTTTTTTTTCCCTAACTGTACAATATGTTAATGTTGTTTCCATTCAATGTTTCATGCCTATTATTAAAAAGATGAGTAGGGGACTGGAAACCAAAACATATGAAGAACAATTGCAGGAATTAGGTATGTCTAGTTTGATGAAAAGAAGGACCAGGGGTGATTTGATAGCAATGTTCCAATATCTCAGGGGCTGCCACCAAGAAAAGGGAGTCAAGCTATTCTCCAAAGCCCCTGAGGGCAGGACAAGAAGCAATGGGTGGAAACTAACCTAGGAGAGAAGCAACTTACAACCAAAGGGAAAGTTCCCGACAGTTAGAACAGTTTATCAGTGAAACCACTTCCTCCGGAAATTGTGGGTTCTCCAACACTGGAGGTTTTCAAGAAAAGATTGGACAGCAATTTGTCTGAAACGATTTAAGGTCTCCTGCTTGAACAGGGAAGTGGATTAGAAGACTTCCAAGTTCCCATTCAACTCTGTTATTCTGTTATTGTTATGCTTCCGTTTATGAAAATGAGAATATTGTGTCTCATTTCTAGAATTAGTGTAAGCATATAATCACCCACTGGGGAAATTCTTATTCTCTGGGAAAGCAAGCACTTTCCCCTCCTTGGGAAGTGGTTTAGCTTCCTTCATGTACATCCTGTTACATAATTCCAGTCCTGTGAATCAGCATTCTTACTAATGATATGTATACGTGGAGGAAAAGGATATTTGCCAATGTTTATTACTCATAACAAGGAACTTTAACTGAGCCCAGACAATCCGCATGTAAAAGGAATTAATTATTATTATTATTATTATTATTATTATTATTATTATTATTATTAT